GTTTTATAATCGTAACGGTGGCCAATTTACCATTTCAACTTTGTTGATATATTCAAATTAGAAGATGTTAAGGTTTAGTCTTACTACCAGAAAGTAAACTCACTAGTAGTAAAATTGATGGTTTGAAGTGTTTAAGGTGAGGTCAAGATAAATGGCAATGGTGTTTCCTTTTAAGAACAAATACACGAAGAAAAAATCTCTAAGCCTTGAACATAGAGTTTTTCAATTATGATTAAAACTCACTTGTTAAAAATATAGAAACTTGCAGACAGCAGACCAGCGAGCCAAGAGCCACTCAAAACCCACGATGATACAAACAATGACACCATGTACATCCCATGTAAGCCAAAGATAGTATCAATATAAAAGTACACATATTCCACAGATCCCTTCAAATGAGGACAAACAGAAAATTCATACAAAATAATCAGGGAATAATGAATAATTAGACAAATAATTGAACTGATACGAATAATCATAATAGTTAGTTATAATGATTATAACACACACACCAAATTATTAAAACATGAGCCTGGTACATGGCCTATAGCTCACTTAAAATGTTCTCTGCAGCTTCCTTAGTAGAAAACCAGATCAGGAAACCTTAAGATCTAAGGTTCAAATTCTCTTGAAAAATCAATTCTTATTCTAATCAAGAAAATTTCTGGCACTATCATTAGAGTATCTGATTGATCAATAATTACCAGTCACAAGAGATACTTCTAATAGTAATTTAACATCCCTGTATAATATTTTAAATAATTTCAATTAAAATTCAAGGTCACTGAAAATTATTATTTTAAGACTGCTATTTTAACTCTGCTAGCAATTTATTACAAATGCTGCAACCTGATTGGCTATGCTACTCACCTGAACAATTCTGTACTAGATGGTTGGTAAAATAAGTAGCTTGTCTTGCTATTTAGTTTTATCTATTTAGTTTTTTTCTTTTTTATGTTTTTTTTTTCAGTTTTATTTTCTAGCAGATTTACACTATAACAGTCAGATTACTTGCTCTCAATTTTAAGCATGATAATTAAGAAAAATACTATGATTACAATTATTATCATTTTCTCTTTAACACAGTAGAACACGTACCTGTATTGGTAAAATTCTGTACAGAGCTGCTAATATAACTTCTTGATAAATATTAAATCTCTCTAGTATATTAATTGTCCTCAGATGCTCTGTCCTATTGTCATGTATAACATCATGAATACCTACAAAATTAGAGTAGACAAGTAGCAAACAAGAATTAATGTTTGATCATCTTTCTCACAATATTCTGTCTCTATAAATTGCTGCTTATGAAGTTTTGGTGGCTACACTTATGTACTTCTAGTCTATGTCAAGTAATGGGGTAAGATCATGAACTAAATTCAATTTAATTAATTTTACCTCCATTATAACTAGCTAGCCTATAAATAAGCAAATAATACAAAAATGTTATGATTTGTACGGTTTGCAACATCAAAGTCATATGTACTGCACAATACCTTAAAATTATTGTTTCCAAATAACATCTCTGCCCATAATTTCAGACCTCTCTGATTATCTTTTAGAGTTAATTAAATACTTTTTCCCCTTTGGCTAATGACAGAGTCACTTTCAAATGCATTCAAAATTTGGGAAGAGAACAGCCTTCCTCTTTTTAATTTTTCTAGGAATTTCAAAAATGGCTGTCTATTAACAGGGTAAAATTTCTAAACACTTTCTTGGATTAGTCTCAAAGCACTCTCTACTGCAAGGATCGTGCATCATACATATCTAATACCGCAGTTCAAAATATATGAACTTCATATATTCATTGTATCCAAAGCATTAGTATATCAAACTGTTGACAGTTTTTGGCTTACCTTGAAATAACGATGGTGCTAAAACTATTTGCTTGTAATATGAAAAATATAATCCAGACTCTGTCCTAAAGGAGATTTCCCTCTCTAGTTGCTGTATTCAAAGTAAACCAGGAATATAATTATGGTTTAGTGAAGAGTTTAACCACAAATATCTGCTGGGTGCAGTTGTTACATTATAATGTGGATGACAAGCTAGCCTTGACCCTTCAATCTCTAAGACTGACTTCAGTCAAACTTGTATTAAGCAGTCACCCGTGCTCAACACTAACTTTTCAGCTTAATAACCAAGTGGCTATAGTGACATCTTAGATGTTATGACAATTTCAGTTTGTTTACTAGCCAAACTGGTCAGTAGAAATAAAAAACTACTGGTCAAAACTGAATTTCTACTAGTCTGTAGCTAGTTGGCTACTGTAAGTGTCAAGCCTTGGTCACCCAAGGGTAAGTGGAAATACAGGTTCCATAGAATAGCGGTCTCATAAAAAACAATAATACACCACTTTTATGCCTTAATTGACCACTTAAAGTACAGAATCTTGCTAAAAAATACTACTCACTTTGATTTTGGGAGAGAAACATGCATTAAAAATTACTTGAAAGATTATTCTTAGATTCATTATTATTTTCCCTTTGGAAATCAATGCAGTGTAAAGCCAACAGGCAATGAGAAACCAGTGAATAATATCAAAAAGGGGATTCTTGATCAATGAAAGATACTTCTTTTACAAAAATTGGCCTCGAAACCCTTTACACCCTTACATCAGTATGAATATTCTCCATACTGTTCTCTATACATTTCCTAAGGTGCTGACAAGGAGAATTTGTTAAACAATCAAGAGCATCTTACGTAACTGATCATTTCCTTTATTCTCATGACCTTAATGTTTGATTTAGGGGGTGATATTGGAAGGAGAAATTAGATACTAGTCACTTGTAAAGGTCAAAGGGTTTAAAGCAGACTTTTGGTAAGTATCTATTCCTTCGCTCTGACAAAGAGCCAATGCTCGAAACATCAGCTTTTATAATCGTAACGGTGGCCAATTTACCATTTTAACTTTGTTGATATATTCAAATTATTTCGTTACCCCCACCGACGCAGCCCCAAACAGTTTCTTTAGAAACTATCAGCCTTTATCTATTCCTAAAGGCTGGTCAGGATAAAAAAGTGCTCAGCTTGAAAAATCCTATTCAAAGGATATATCAGCAAAATTAACTGTGCTTGAAATCATGTATCCAACAAATAGCAATTTATCTGGTGGTAGCATTACCCTGTCTTCAAGCAGGTGGGTTCATAAGTCAGTCAGCTACTAGCTGGGGTATATTATTTACTTTAAGTCCTTATTCTTCATATTTTGTTGCTAGGTTGCATATATATTGCTGGGGTATGCAGTCCAAGCTAAACAATATATACCGAATAAATTATACTGATTTTTTTTTTCACTCAGATTAATGCCAAAATATTTCATTAGAAGAGCTCATACATGTGGCACTATCTCACAAATCTTCAGATTTTAAATCCTCTACTACTCTGAGATAGGAAATCAAATATTTAAAATAAATAATCTTAAATTTAAAAAAAATTTAAGATAATAGACATTTCAGTGTCGATAACTTAATATGATAAGGTCAAAGGAAACAAAATATATTTAGCGATTAAGAAAATTAGAACCGAATTGTAAAAGAATCAATATCCCATTCTTTTTCCAAAATATTATTCAGTGACAATAATTATTTCTCGCGGAAGTGGTCAAAAGTGGAAGGATTAAGAACGAATTCAAATTTCCCAGTCGAGTTAATTATGAACATAAAATGACTCTCAGTCAAATTCACTCATCGAGGGGATAAAACGAGCTAAATTTTAAAAATCGATGAGAGGCAACCTAATTAATTTCAAATGTAATGCAAACATGAGAAAAAAATAGTCAATGAGGTGTGACAGACTGTTACATCGAAGTTACACACATTCAGCACTAAAAATTCGCTCATTTATGTTAAATCCGACCACTTACGCCGATGTTGGAGAACCACATATCATTCTCATGAAGTTCCCGAACATACAAAGCATATTTGACTCCAACAATCAAGGCAACAGTCGCTCCAATGATAAAATTAGCGTAAGTGAACCAAGAAACTTGATCCAGTTTCCTTTCACATTTCTGCTGGCCGTCCCTCGCACGCTCGTTCGCATGAGATCCCGAAGGCCGATTCTTGTCTTTTCCGGAACCTGCCTTCCTCCTTCGCAATTCTGACATAGCGTACCTAAAGCAGACATTAGAAGCGTCAAAAAACGCCGTCAAAAAGGTAGCCCTAAGTCAAAGACCTCTCCTTAAGCCTTCAAGAGACATTTGCATTCAGTTGTAAACAAGATTGAATATTAGCGCATGCGTGTCTTCCTTCTATAATTTCGCGCCACGTCGAAGGGCGAGTGACTTTCATTAAATAAAAGCAGTTTCCCAACCTTTCGCATTTCTCTTTTACCTTTGCGATGGAGAACTGTGAGTGTTTCGTCTAATCTGGGATTAGACGGCTTAGTTAAACAAGAACTGTGGTGAACAATTGGATAGACATTACAACGGGAATCGACTAAACGCGTGCGCCTTGTAATAATAAACTACAAGCTCTTTGGACTGGGGATTTTAAGTTTAGGAAACAGGGCTAATGCACAGATACATACTGATGCTAAGCCGCAAGAATTATTTCGATCACAGCTTCCAAAGACTTTCTCCTAGCTCAGGCAAAGTAATCTGCACGCGATTAGAAATCAGTTCTGCTTAACTGAAGACCTCGTGTTGAAAACAACCCCATACCGTGCGAGACAAAATGTATCCGCACTAAATTTGTAAAACAATAAAAAGCGTTCTCGAAGTTTTTCATTGAGCTATTTTCGTTCATTTCCTAGTATATTTTAAAACCCAAAGTAACTGTCTATTGTATTTTGAAAGAAATAATTTTTTATTTTTCATCAGTCCAGACCAGTACAGTCTTGAAATATAAGACGTTGTCGTTGAACGGGTTATTTTTAGTCGAACAAAGAAGCACAAAGGTGCACAGTTGGAATACCAGCTGTAAGACTATATTGACGTCTTCCTTTGCATTAAACAACGGTATTGTTGGGCAGAGTCAATATCTTACGACGAATATCCAATTCACTGAATTTAGAGAGATTTTGAAATATTACACATTCTTATCTTTTTGTTCGTATTCCAGTTTTGCATGAAAAAGAGCACTGAGTGTTTTATCTTGGGATCAAAATCAATAGCGAATGACACGACTCTTTTGTTGTGTCCTAAGTCTGGAACAACTAGAAGAAAATCCGGAAGGACAAAACAAGCGATTATGATAAGGGCAAAGTTATTCTATTCGCTAATAAATTAAAACTGAGAAACTTGCACAGGAATTTGTTTTTCACTTTGATTGCATGCTGTCTTCCAGTCTGTGACACATAAAACAAAACTCGAATCAAAGGAACATTAGCCGAGAAAAGGACCGAGATGAGCCCAAGTTACGATTGACGCGTTCCTTTTTCGTTTTCTCCAACAAGAAAAGCAGCAGTAGTTGCCGGGCGGCAAGCTCATACTTTACAACAGGTTTTATAAGCTGAATGCCCCGAGATTTTATATGTGCTTCCGCGATGATAATTAACAATTATTCCACGAGGGCGCGTTGGATATGAGATGATAGATAGCCAACGAGGCGCGTAGCGCCGAGTTGGCTGTAATCATCTCATATCCAACAAGCGCAAGTGGAATAATTGTTTTATTAAAAACGCCCCCAAGATATTAGACAAAGCTTACCAAATCTTAAATATTTTAGCTCCCTTGTAATTTTAAGCTGAAGTGTATGATATGCTTACCATATTTGTTGATTATGGTATATTGGCTCATATACCATGATGGCTAAGCCAATAAAAAGTCTTGAATTGCATTATCCAATGATCCAGTTTTTAATAATAATAATTATGTGGAACTTACTGGCAGTAGAAATGTAGAGAGTGGACTTGTTCGAATAGAAAGGTTTTTAGAAACTTTTGTTAAACGCTCGTGACGTCCTTAAAACTGAAGTCTAAAGAAATCAGTTCACTGGTAAATGAATAAGTGCACAATGATAAGAAAAGGCC